GGCTGGAGTATAGCGAATAGAGGGAGAGTGGCATGGCATGAGGTCAGAGAAGTGGGCAGGGGACAGATTTAAAGCACCTTGAAAATTTCAGCACGTTAGCAAGAATTTTGGATACCTTCCGCGTGGTATTTGAGGCCATTAGTAAATACTAAGCAGATAACTGACATGATTTTATGCTTTAAAACAAGTCATTCTTTCTGCCATGTTGAACATGGACTGAGTAAGAGGAGCAATAGTGGAGACCAATAAGGACACTGGTGCAATAGTCCAGTGAGAAATCGTGGCGGCTTGCACTAGGGTCAACGTGGAGAGAGCTAGAAACGGAGAGATTCATCCTGGGGGTAAAGTTGTCAGCATGTGTGATGGATTGGATATGGGGGTTGAGGGTAAAAGAGGATTTATTGTAGGTCTTTCCCTTGAGCTACTGTGTGGATATTGGTACCTTTTATTGGTGTGGGGAAATGGAGAGAGAAACAGGTTACAGGCGAAGTCTGTTTTGGATATGTTAAGTGTAATATGCCTATTAGATATCTAAATGGAAATGTCAAGAGTGTAGGTGGATATATGAGAATGGAGTTTGGGGAAGAGTCAGGGTTGGAGATAGAAAAGTAGATGCCATCAGCGTGTAATTGGAAGGTAAAAGCCGTGAGGCTGAATGAGAGTCCCTGGGAAGAAGGTGTACATAGAGAAGAGGAATGGCCCTGGAATTGAGCCCTGGGACACGTCAGCATTCAGAGGATGAGCAGAGGAGGAGGAACCAGCAAAGGAGACGGAGAAGAAGTGGCAGGTGAGGAGGGAAGAAAACTAAACGAGTGTCATTTTCTGGTTCTTTGTAAACATGGACGTCAAGAGAAGGACATAAGTCCAAAAGCAGGGAGTGGTCAACTGTGTAAAAGTCAAGTATTGTTGAAAGGCTAAGTTAGGTGAGGACTGAAAAGGGTCCATTGGGTTTGGAAACATGGAGGATGCTGGAGAGCTTGACAAGACTGGCTTCTGTGGTGGGGAAGGGCAGAGCTGGATCGTACAGGAGTTAAGGAGAGGTTGGGGATTGGGGAAGTGGAGGGGGTGACTATATATACATATTTTTTGGACTGCTCTTTCCTCACCATTAGAATAGTAAGAAAAGAAGGCAAGGAAAAGCCAGTTTGTTTTTTCAAGGAAGAAAGGGCAAAAGAGGTCTGCTTTGGTTCTCAACTGTAGGCCTGCCTCAGCCTACCCTGGCTCAGCAAGGGACTGCATCACGGTTTGGGACAAAGCCTCACAGTAATTCGGAGGCACGCTGTCCCCTTCAGCATTTTCTTTATCTCTGAAGAACCGTTGAGGAGAGCTGGCCTCGGTGGGCCCTCGGTTTCTGTCACAATCCATCTGCTTCTCTCTCAATTCTCCGAGAACGCTAACCTACAGTTATCTTTACTACTGAGAAGAAACGGTTAGAATATTAATTTCATAAAATCACCACTTCATTTTGAGACGCATAGTTGTTCACAGCTAATGACGCTTTACCTTCAACCCCAGCTTTTGGAAAGCCTTTAACCTTGTTAATGATATGTTTCAACAAATTAAGCAACATGACTAATTCTGTGTCCTAGTCGCTGACTGATTCCAACAGGAAATTTCTCTTTAGGAAAGTTCACTCTGTAGGTACCTCATCTGATGTCTAGTCATAGATAGGGTGTTTTTTTAGACTGTGAGGCAAGAATATCTTATTCTAATAATATGCCAGGTGAACCTGCAATTGTTTATACACTTTGATTTCCTTATTCAAAGCAGTGCTTTAAAAGCTACATTATAAGAACTTGTGTTTGAAATAAGTTTCCAACCTTGTCCCCCACCCCCTCCCCAAAGGGTAAAGCCTGCTCCAGCCTGTATTCTTACTCCACCCTGGAGGAAACTGTTAATTTCCAGATCTTTCAAGATGCCAGACTGGTTAGTCAGAGGATTTCCAAGCTTGTTCAAAATACCTCCCTCCCCGCTTCAATCTTCACTCCTATGATTCCATTACTTCTTTAGCCTCCTTAAAAAAACTATTAGACCATTTAAAAATGGTACCTGTGCTCTCTAGTTTTGAAGACATAATATCAGGGTATTAAAGATGGAAGATAATAAGTTGTTATAATCAAACCTAACTTGCCTTCTCGGAGTTCAAAGGATTCATTAATCAATCAGATGATGTGCTCACTGCTCGCTCTTATCATTGTTAAAGATGTGAACTCAGGGACTTCCCGGGCTTCCCTGGTGGCGCAGTGGTTGAGAGTCCGCCTGCCGATGCAGGGGACGCGGGTTCGTGCGCCAACCCCGGTCCGGGAGGATCCCACATGCCGTGGAGCGGCTGGGCCCGTGAGCCATGGCCGATGAGCCTGCGCGTCTGGAGCCTGTGCTCCGCAACGGGAGAGGCCACGACAGTGAGAGTCCCGCGTACCGCACAAAACAAACAAACAAACAAAAAAAAACAAAAAAAAAAAAACTGTACTGAGAACTGGGAAGATGGAGTCAGTCATATTACCTGTCATCAGAGAGATTATATGTAAAAAAAAAATGAGTTTAATAAAGTATTCTACAGCATTATGGAGGGAGGGGTGTGCATTTTGTCTAGAGAGTGGCGAGCAGAGTCAAAAAAGATTTCATAAAAAAAGGTGACTCTTAGTTTGATTTTGGAAAGATGGTCGGTGTTTGGACAGGCTGAGTAAGAGGAGGGGTATTCCATGAGAGGGTACTGTATAAAAATAAGTGACCTGATAGGGAACTGCATTCGAGGAACTCAGAGTGTTTGATGAGACTGGAGAAATAGATGCTGGCTAAGGCATTGGGACTTCATCCTACAAGATGAAGCCATTTGAAGTGCTTATCCAGGGAATGACTTGCTTGATTTTGCATTTTAGAAAGCTTATTTTAGCCATGAGGTGAGAGATGGCAGAGGTGGAGGTGTAACCAGCTGAGGGGCTGTGAAACTAATGAGGAAAGGAATGCAGTGTTTCAGGAGCTTGAAAGAAAGGACCTGAAACCAGGCAAGAGCAGTGAAATGGAGAGAAGGTTATGGGCAGGAATGTCTGGTCCACGGAGGGGCAATGGGGGAGAGAAGGGGAGCCTGGGACAATTTTCAGATTTCTCCTTTGGTTGACTAGGCAGATTGTGGAGACATTTACTAGAACGAGACTAGAGAGAACAGGCAACTGGCAGGAAAGTTAACTCCTGTTTTAGTCAAGCTGAGTTTAAGGTCAGTGGGACGTCTGGGTAGAAATTTCTGATAAGAAATTGGCTTTACAGACTGGAGATCTGGGATAGGGATGGACACTTTACGAGTTACTAGCACATGGTTGGTAGTTGAAGTCATGGGTGGGTCTGGATAGACCAGGCAGCATTAGAAACAGACCAAGGGCAGACTATTTAAGCACTCCAACATGTCAGAGATGGCAAAGGGGCTGAGCAAGATGGTTAGAGAACTGGAAACTGAAGTGTCACAATGGCCAATGGAAGAGATAGTTTCAAGGATAAAAGTTCTGGTCCCCAGTGACAAATGCTGCAGGTATTTTAAATAAGAAGGGAATTGGAGGTGGAGGGGGGAACAACCCAACGGCTTAGGGAATTTTGAAAACCATAGGTGACCTTTGTCAGGGTCGACTCGGAAGAAGAGTGAGCACAGAAGTGGGTTTGCAGGGAAGAATGAGTGGTAGATGAAGAAATGGATGTGAGAATATTGAGAAAAGGCGTTTATCTCCCGAAGAGCTTGGCTGTGAGGAGGTGGGGACTGGAGACAGACTGGATCAATTAAGTGTTTTGAAAATTTCATTTTGTTTTAAAACTGTGTGAATATATTTGACATGATTAGGGGCCTTGGGAAGATGCTGACAGAAGGAGCCTGAAAGTCCAGGAGACGGAAAAATCTGTGAAAAGCCATTCTTGGATGGGAAATAGACGGAAACCGTCTTCGATGCCAAAAAGATGATCGGAAACGCTGTGTGAAACGTTGTTTTCAAAGGTTGGGACGAGGTGACTTGCCATTTATTGAGCAGTCACTGCCAGTCCCTTCCCCTCTAACTTGAAGGTAGTGCTCGAATAGGAAGACAGATCGACTCCTTAGCAGGGTTTTTTTTTTCCATGAAACAGTTAATCATTAAAAGTGAATAAAAGAAGTACTTCCTCAAGCTTAACCCATCTGCAGTGCTTTTAACGTCACAAAGAATAAACCATCCCTAGCGCAACTGGTTCAACAGCGGCTGTGGAATGCAGTTATCTCCCTCGCTCTGTCGAAGTCGGTTACTGTCCAGCGTGATTTCGTTCAAGCCTCAGCGCCCAGAGGAGGGGAGGTGCCTGCCGCGCGGGCCGCCGGCGTCTGGAGGGAGGCGGGCACTGGCTGCAGGCACCGGGAGAGGGAGACTCGGGGAGAGGGGCGCTGGAGGCGTCTCCCGGGACTCGCAGCCACCGCCGTTCCCATCGCCAGCGCATCGGCCGGCCCAGCCCGGGCTTTCCCCGCCGCTCCCCGCGCGCCCAGCTGCGGCTCGGCGTCGGTCCCCGGGGGAGGCCTCTCCTGTCCCCACTGCCGCCCGGTGCCCCTGACCACCCGGCGGCCGCTTTCGGTTCCGCGCCTTATAAGGCCTGACAGGGGGGTCACGTGCGTCCCGGGCCGCCCGCCGGGAGGAGGGGGCGGTGGGGAGGAGGGGCGGGAAGCGGAGAGGAAAAGGGGAGGGAGCCGGGGGCGGAGGAAGGAGCGAGGGGCGGATTCTGCGGCCGTGGGAGGCGGTGGCGGTGGCGGCGGTGGTGGTGGCGGCGGCGGCGGCGGCGGCGGCGGCGGGGAGCGGACCGCTCGGAGCTGGACCGAGGAGGAGGAGGAAGAGGTGGAGGTGGAGGAAGGGACCGGCGCGGGGGCGGGAGAGCGCAGCGCGGCGGAAGCCGGAGACGGCGGGAGGGCCGGTGGCTGGCCCCGGGCGGGAGCCGGGGCGGCGGCGGCAGCGGCCGTGAGGACCGCGGCGAGGGAAGCGCATCCAGCGGCCCCGGCAGCGGCGGGGGCCCGGGTCTGCGCGCTCGGGCGGCCGGCGGGCGCGGGCCGGCGCGATGGAGCCGCAGCACGTGCGCCCCGCGCCCGGCGCCCGCAGCCCGGCCTGGGAGGAACCGGTGGGTACAGCGCCCGCGCCCACCCCCTCCCACTTCTCCTCTGTTCCCCACCCCCGCCTCCGCCCGGGCCGGGTTCCGTTCAGGAAATGGCCCGGGATGAGGTCCCCAGCTGCTTCCCAGCCGGGACAGCGCTTCCTCCGCCGCCCGGGCTCCTCCTCGCGCGCCTCCCGGAGCGCCTTTGTCCGGCCAGCCGAGACTCTCCTCGAGGGGCCGCCGGCGATCCTCTGACCACGGCCCTCGGAGGACCGTTTCCGTGCTTCATCGACTTCTCAACTTTTTACTTGATTTTAGAGCGAGGCGGGTGGGTAGGGAGGGGGAAAGGAGAAACCCACTCTGTGGGTTCGCGTTCGTGGCTCGGAGGAAACCGGTTTTCCCTCCCGAGACCGCGCCCTGGGCCGTCACCTGGGCGCGCAGGTTCCTAGAGATACGCGCTGGCTAGGCGGATCGCGGCTTGAAGCCCAGAACCACGCCTCCGCCTCGTGTTCGCCGCTAAAGCCCCGGGCTTTTCTAGGGGTCAAGGGGTTTGCCAGGGATGAAGCGGGAAGCTGACCTCGATTTCGACGAGGATTTTCCCTGCCCATACAACGCGGAGGTCGGGTAATTTTAGGGGCCAGAGTAACGTGTGCGTGTGCATTGTGTGTGCGAGGATAAGGATCAGGAGCCCGGGGGGCTTCGGATTTGGTCCCTCAAACTCCAACTTCTTTCTTCCAACTCAGTCAGAATCACCTCGCATCTCTCCAGTGATTCTACCCCGAAACCCCCGTCTCGCTCAGAGCTCTGTAATCGTGTGTGGGCTGCCTTTTCCCTGGCATCGAATTTTGGCTCTCTACGTCCTGCCTCGATGTTTGCTACTCCGCCTTGGTTGAAATTCTTGAACCTATTTGAAAAGCCTCGTCCGAAATTTCTGGCCTCATCAGTATTTTGTTCAACATGTTCGGATGCTCTTTTCCCAGGGACTCTGCGTTATCTGCTCAGGCTGGCCCCCTGCCTGTTGAGAGCTTCTAGGTCAGGTGCTAGGCTTGGTTATCCTTTTTTTTTTTTTTTTTTTTCTAATATGTACACTCCCAGCTCCTTCAACTCTGATCCATCTGTATCTGCAGCTGTCTTTGCTTTTGTAAATCTGAACATGTTGTTAGGTTGCCAATCTACTCGTATTTCTTCTATTGTGGTTATGCCTGGGGATTAAATTATTCTTGAAACTAAAAACAATTCAGTTTTGGAGTTTAAATCAAAGATCACTGAGAACTAAATTCAGTGACCTGGTTTTGTAACTTTTTTACTTTTAAACTCTCCTATGTGAAGTCTTTTTTGAACTTGCATACTTTAAGCCAACACCAATCACAATGAAAAATACTTTAGGATGCTGATGCCTCAACTACTTTGTGCCTAGAAAAACAGAGGAAGACTTTTATTTTTGCTTTACTTATAGTGACGAAAATGAAAATGTTCATTTATTAGCCTTTGAAGCTAGAGCCCGAACAGAAATACGTGAATGAATTGTGACACTTTGTCCAGCTGCAGAATTCTCCTAAAAAAATTAGGTTTATTTTCTTTAAACACTGAAAGCCTTTTTATTTACTCAACAGGTATTTTGTACAGCACCTACTATGTTCCAGGACTGTTGGAGCTGACAGCACAGGCACAAATCCTTAAATCCTCACAGAGTGTTCATTCTGAGTAGACAGAATGTCTTGTTTCATACATATTAATAGTTTACATTCAGAGAGTCCAAAAAAAAATCTTCAGAGATCTCATGTGTGGTATAAAAATGATACTTTTGACAAAGTGATTTTATTTGAAACCCTGTGGCCAGCTATGTCTGACACAAAGTCTAAGAACTAATAAAGGGGATTCTCATTTAATTTCTTAGAAAAGTTATCCAAATTACTGAAAAGTGGCGTATACAAGAAAAAAGAAGGGGTAAATTAGGGGAAATAGAGTATTTAAATGTTAATTATTTCAGACGTGTGGAGCTAAGTGGGGAAATACCAGCTTAATCTAAGTATGTTGAAGGACAGTTTTCCTTTCAAAACAAATTTCATCAAAATCAGGGATTCCTGAACTTTTCTTGGATCAGTGATCCCTTTAAGAATCTAATCAAAGCTATGAACTCTCTTTCTCCCCAAAATGTACGCATGCAACATACATATAAAAATTTAATAACATTTCAACGGAATCGCAGAATTCCCAAAACCAAATCTGTGGACCCTCAAAGACCTTGGGTTAAGAACATCTGCTTTGATCTGGACTCCATTTTGCTGTCATTTAAAATCTGTTTTTTAAATTCAAATATAGGCAACTTTAATACTTTAAAAGTATACTCATTTACATTTATGAAAGGGAATATTCAATATTGAACAGGCAGTATTCACAGCACACAGATCCTGTTGCATTATCCCTTACTGTATATGCCAGCATACATGTAAGGATTTACTTTCCTTATCCTTTTTTGCTGGACCCCAAAATGATGTGATTCTACATAGAAGTATTCTGACAGAAGAGTAAACATGGTTATCAGGAATCGATGCTGAGTAATAAAGAGAACGGCAAGTCTAACTTGAAATGCACCCATGTCTGGAGCTGAGAAGCAGCTGCTGGCCATCGTGACTTTTTTGTACATGCAGATGAAATGAAGTTACTTAGTTAAGCGAGGGCATTTAAATAAACTGTTAGCCTTATCATTACTCCACCTAGGGCACTGGGCCTACAAGAAGATAAATGTTAGCATTCAGGTGTCTGTGTATTTTCTTTAATGCTAGGTTGGAATGTAATGAAATCAGTGGAAACAGAGACATTACCTAAATTTCTAATTAATTAAAAAATACTTTGGAAATAGGTGGGTAGGAGGATATTTAGCCAAGCAGCCCTTACTTGTAGATAATATCCTGGGGGAAAATGGATAGATTTCTAGCCAGAACTTAGAAGAGTGTGGGAGTATTTACAAAGTAGTTCTTAAACAGTGCAGGGATACTAGAGTACCTTTTACTTGTTAAAATTTATTTTTATTTCCAAATGATTTTTATCTAGTTGGCTCTGGTGAAACTATTCAGAACTACTGAAAAATTAGGAAGGGAAGAGTTTCAAAGGAAAAAGGGCCAAAACATAACTGAGAGTTTACAAGTATATTTATGTATTAAGTCTAGATGGCCAAAGGTTTTTTGCCTTAGGTACAGTGATGAGCATATGTACATGGAATTGATATCACAATTAATTTTGAAATCTTTTTCGTTGAGGTAACAACTAAGGAAATTTTAATGAAGTTTTGAATGTTAAATTCTAAATGCGGAATAGTGTATTACGGAAGTAGTTTTAAAGTTTGAATGAAAGCAGGTCTGTACCTGTTCAACCTGCAGTGTTCTTTGCATGGTTCCCATTGATTAGAAACTTGAGTCCTAGAACCTAACTCTTTTTAAAGTGCCTATGTACTTGGGTTCTTCAGAATATAAATGTAGACTTATTTATGTTTGATATAATATTTAATGTAAAACCATAGAACATGAGATTTAAAAGTTGCAAATGGATATTAAACCTCTTGTTATGAGTAGTGATCAATAAGAATGTAATTCAAAAAATCTCTATAGATATTAATATGTTAATATTCATAAAGTTGGTATCAGAATGAGAATTGGCTCTAACTTATACATCTTCAATATAATAGTTCTTTTTTTTTTTTTTTTAAATGGGACAGAAAGCCCTATTAAGTAGAAACCTAAACCTAATTTAGTGGTAGCTTCTATTTCCATTTCTTTTTGAATGTAGTGTCTATGTGGCTTATGTCCAAGTTTGTAATAGTGTGTTTGTGATATGTTGTGTTCCAAACAAAGATTTCAAAGTAATAATAATAAATATGTAAGACACATCTAAGAAATTATTTGAAAATCTGAAAACACCAAGTAAGGAAAAATTCAAGGAAATCTTGCAAATTAAAGAAATAATGTAATATGCCACATATTTGAAATTTGTTTTAGTTGCTATTTTGAGGTACATTAAAATGGTTGCAAATATTGAGCTCTTGACATTGCTATTATATTTTTAAGGGAAGCAAAGTGCATTGCAAGTATACAATATACAGCTTAAATATTGATTCTGGAAATTTTACAGATAAAACCTGCGAAGTTGCTAGTGGGTCAGCTACTTTAAATCTGGGATTATTTGAAACAGTTCCTCAGAAGAGATGATTGAAGAAAAGAGGGTTTTTCACGAGCTGCCTTTTGTGGGAAATGATGCAACATTCCTTCACTTGCTTACACAGTATTTCACTCTGAGTATGTGCTAGGGAAATTGTAGAGCAGGGATCATTTATTTAGCATGAGCAGGCTAAGACTTGCTGTGCTTTCAAAGTCACAACCAAATTTTAGAACTTGTTACAGGAGTCTTTGAAGAGCAGGGATAACTGTGAGGTTAATTTTTTATGAAGTAACGAATACCTTTACTTTGAAGCATTAATTGCCCAGCTTTTGCACGGGAAACTATTTTAATATTTTTAAGTGATCAGTGTTTGAATCAGAGTGAGAAGTGTATTCAGTCTTCTTTTTAAGATCACAGAATAGGCATGGACATTAAACAATGCCTTTTCCTTTAATCACTCTTTGCCTGGCTTCTGGAAAATGTTACTTATATAAAATTTTAAAGGCTAAAGTGTGAACAGAAACATAATTGAGTAACTTTTGTTGTATGATGTGGTAAGGTGAATGGAACATTAGAATAAGACACATGATTTTGACTTTGGTCCCGCTTGTGACTTTGGGCCTCAGGTTCTTTACATTAAAAGAGAGGTCTGAACTAGGTTTAGTCTTTCAAAAGGCCCTTTACTAGGCGCTCTTATTTACATTGTCAGACCATTGGACTTGTCAGTGACCAAACAGTTGGGTTGGGATAAAGGCCATTATTTTGATTATTTTTTTCTCTGAAAGAATTCCCTTCTCAGCAGTACGTTCTTTGTAGATATAGAATTGCATTTTTACAGAGCCATAAGGGCTCTTAAAGTTTATTTTGCCACCTCCTTCCCTTCCTAAAGAAGACGGCTGAGGCCGGAGAAGTAGCCTTTATCGATTAGTATTACCTGGCAGCAATCTCCTGTCTTTGCACATTCAAACTAATCAGGACGTTTTACATTTCAGTCAATTTAATCTACCGTGTGGATAGACAGTAGTATTAGGATTGCATATTGCTTCTTAAAATCTCTTAGAACTGTTAGTTCTGTCACAGCAAATTATTGAGAGTAAGACTGAAACTAAAAACAAACAAACAAACAACAACAAAAAACCCCAAACTCAAACATCCCTCCCTTAGTCTGGAGGACCCTCAAAGGTCATGTCAGTTGAAAAAATTCGAATGAACCCTGAAGGGCACGAACACGCTAAAGAGACTGAATGCTTTCCTTAAGTGTGAAGAGACTGCATAGTCTGGCAGGGACTTTTTGCCCTACTTAAAAACATAGCTAACACCAGTTTGGAATTCCCTGTGGACGACAAGAGGAATCTGTCATTTTAGTCTCTTCTCCCGGAAGCCCTCCCACACCTACAAGGGTTCTTTGGCACGGGGCGTGCACAACGCACAGCGAGGCTGCTATTCCCAAGTGTCCGCTCAACCCGCTAGCGGGGGACGAGCTGTGAGCGGTGCCTGCCGCCTGTTGATCCCATTTCCTCCTGCTCTAGTCCGGGTTAGGGAGTGGCTCTCCCCGGACTTCCAATGTTTTCGTGCTCGGGCACTGGTGTTCACACGGCTCCAGTGCATTGTTTTCTTCCAGGCAGTCTCGGTTAGCGCTTCAGCTTAGATATTTATTTTGCATTCTGTCGTCTCGGGCTGCGGGTACTTGCTTGTCTCTGCGCGCTCTCCACGCCCTGGCCAGTTTCCTGTTAGCCAAAGGGATCGCTCTTTCTGAACCAAAAGTTCTCAGAGCCGAGTGGAACCTCCCGGAAAATGCTCTTCTCTTCCGTGTGCGCTGGATGGGAGTGGGGGTGGGCCAGAAACTAAAGGCCACGGTCGGGAGAGCTGAAAGGACCCGAACCCCTAGGCGGAGGCGGGAGAGGTACGGGTCAGCCGAGAAGGGCTCCGGGGTCCAGAGACAAAGGGGGCAGCGCCCATCCACCTCGGGGCTGGAGGGGACTTTTACTCGCGGGAACTGTGCGGCGAGGCCCAAGTGTCTCTGGAGAGATTCTGGGTCCAGGAGGTGGCGGGAGCACCCAGGGGAGCCGGGAGGAAGCTAGGTTCCCTTTCTACTCCTGGGGCCGTTCTTGCCGCTGCTGCCCGGGAACCGAGGGAGGGAGCCTCGCTACTGCCGGGCCTGCGGGGATGGGCTGCGGAGGCTTCGCGTCTCCCCCGCCCTCCCGTCCGTCCTGGGGACCCCAGACCCTAGGGGAAGTGGGAGGTTGTCCCAATCCCTCTGTCGCTCCCATCCTCTCTACCCGCGCCGGTTGTATTCCGGGTCAGGAACCCTGTAACATCCCGAGGCTGGGTGCGCTGGCGTCCCAGCGGGCCTGGGTCCATGTCCCCTGCGCCCCACCGCGGTCGCCACTCAGGCGGGAGCGGAGCGCGGGATCCTGGAGGGCCCCGGCCGCGGGAGGCGTCTGGTTCCCGGCGACCCTTCCCCCGCGGGGCCGGCTGGGGGAGGGGAAGATGGCGGCGGCGCCTGGGCGCGGGGCTCCGGGCCCGGCTCGAGCAGAGCACACCTACTGACCACCGCCGCCGCCCCCGCAGGGCGGTGCTGCGTCCCCGCAGGAGTCGGAGAGGATGGCGGGGGCCGGCGGCCAGCACCACCCTTCGGGCGCCGCGGGAGGAGCGGCCGCCGCGGCCGGCGCTGCGGTAGCCCCCGCCACTGCCTCGGCCGGGCCCGGAGAGGATTCGTCCGACAGCGAAGCGGAGCAAGAGGGACCCCAGAAACTGATCCGCAAAGTGTCCACTTCGGGGCAGATCCGGACCAAGGTGAGGCGGGCCCAAGGGGAGCGTGGAAGGCGGGAGGCGGCCGGGCGGGGAAGAGGAGAGTGGGCGCCTGGGGCGCAGGGCGATCCCGGGAAAGTGTGGAGCCGAGGTGAGGGCGGGGCCTGGGCCCGGAGGCGGGGCCTGGGGGAGCCGGACGGCGCGCCGCAGAAAGGGATTCCCGGCCGGCGCGCTGGGGCCTCCAGGGTGGGTTCCGGGGGAGATGGGTGGGCAGGGGCGGAGGAGAAGGGAACCAGGGAGCGTGGGAAAAAGCGGAAACGCTGTTTAGAGTTCCCACTCAGGGATCTAAAAAGGAGTGTTTCATTTTTGGTACTACCTGCCGTGCAATGGCTCGGTAGAGTGCGTTGCGCAGGGAGCGAAGTGCAGGCTGACCAGCCAGAGCTGCAGTGAACTTCGCCACCTTCCCTTCCCGTGGACAGCAGCCTGCCTCTCCCTGGCCCACTCTGAGAGGGTGGGTGGGGAGGTGACACCTGACAGTCCCTGTGCCCCTTTGCTGCCCTTTGGTAAATGATGCTCGCGGTTAACCGCACCCTAACGCGGCACAAACAACAGACCTCGAGTTAGGTTGCCGCTAAGTGCAGTGTTCTTATCTTATCGACACACCCATGGTTATTTTTAATAATGAAAAGTAACCTCTTTGTGTCACGTGGAGATTAGCATGCTGTGCTACTCTTTATGTAGCAGGTACTGTTGACCTGTGAGAGCTCAAAGTTGAGAGTTTTAATTTGATTTTATATGTATATATAGCAAATGCTTACGACTGACTGAAGGATTATTTATACACTCTAATTTTCATCATACTGTAGAAATCATCACGCGGAGAGTCAGTTATCACGGGGGGACTTTAAGAGGAATTTGAAAAGGGAACCAATAAAATCATTGGATATGTGTGCTCTTTAAGAATAAATTTGCAGAAGTTAATTCATTCTATACCTATTTTTATGAGAATTTGTTTTCTAAGGTTAATGGACCCATATATGAAAATAGAATTTTTATTATGTGTCTGTGGATTCATGTTTGCACCTGCCTCCTTATTTTCTAAAATAAATATGTGTAAGCACACACACAACTGTTAACAAGCTGCACTTAGGGAAGAGTCAAAGATGCTTCATGGTTTTTTTTTTTTTTTTTTTTTTTTTTGGTACACGGGCCTCTCACTGTTGTGGCCTCTCCCACTGCGGAGCACAGGCTCCGGACGCACAGGCTCAGCGGCCATGGCTCGCGGGCCTAGCCGCTCTGCGGCATGTGGGATCTTCCCAGACGGGGACACGAACCCGTGTCTCCTGCATGGGCAGGCAGATTCTCAACCACTGCGCCACCAGGGAAGCCCACGATGTACTTTTTAAATAAAGAATAAATAAGACTGGCATGCCTTTTAAATTAGTGTGGTTTAATAAAATGCTCATGTACATTTTAGTACCCTTGTCACATCCTCATATTGTATGCTCTTTGTTCCCGTTTTCATTTCCCATTTTTTCCTTCTGTTTCTTTGCCTTGCTGTCATCTCTACTATTTTTCTCTTTCTCTGTTTTTCACTTTTTTCCTTTCTCTGTATTAGCTAAATGGAATTTCAGGTAGTCTCATCTAGCTACCCAGGTGCTAAACGCTAGATAATTTTATGGGTGCCTCGATTTCCCCAAAGGAAAAAAAAATCACTTATATGCAAGTTTAAATAGTGCTGATGTGGGGAAGCCAAAGGGAGCTGTAACTCATCAAATCTCTTCCTCTCTCTTTACCCTTGGCTGTTATCCCTAAATTCTTGGTCTTGTTTCAAGGAGAAGCTTGATTTTGCATTCAGATTTACTATTGTAGAGAATTTCACAGGTGTTTGCTGGGAGTGAGACATTCTGAAACAGCACTGATACAACCTCAGACCCGCTTGGTTTTGAACATGAGTGTGAAGGACAGTCGGTTTGCTTTTTGTTGGCCCATGAATACTGTAGTCTTTCATTTTGCAGCGAATGGCTGGAGGAACATTGGTCAGGCTTATAGACTAGGATTGTTCAACCGTCATAAGCCAAACAGTGTAAACAAGTGGGAGCCATCTCAATGACTTTTTTTCACACTGACTCATCTTGGTTAAGGTCTTGAAGCTTCATGTGTCAAAAATATTTCCTAATTTGGTTTATTATGCTCACATTTATTTTTTTGACATTTATGTCTTCTTACAGTTAATTTTAATGTCCATAAATGAGTCTCTAAATTTAGGTAAAACATACCTAAACACTGGAAAGATATTCAGAACTTTGCAACATTGTATCTGGATTAGGACATCTCTTTCAGCCCATTAAAAGAATAACCACCACATTCTTCAGCTGGTACCTTGGTTTTACTTTAACACAAAGGATGTATAAGTAAACTCTTATATCTTTATGGTAAGGTATAATCAATATGGAAATACTGATTTGTATTTTTCACTGCTTTATGAGGTACAATTTGTGCAATTAGAACATTATTTTTCACCATAAACCTTCGATAGAGTAGATTAGGGAAGACTTGCTCAGTGTTTTTCAGGTTGTAGGTGGCAGCCCATTAGTGGGTCATGCTGATTCATATCCAGTATTTAAAACAGAAACAGAATAGATTCGAAAATACTATTTAAGACTTTTAGCCACAGTTCTGCATGGAAACATTGGATTGGGTAATGATCCAACTAGGACGGGAAACAGAAACAAGGCCAGAAGATTGTTAAGAAATAAAGTAATATTAACAGGTTTATTGTTCAGAAACTCAACATGATGTGAAAGGCAAGTAGGAGTTTTTACATTTTGATAGGTGATGAGCAGGAAGATATCTTGAATTAGAATAATTAACATTCATCTAGGCAGAAATCAGCTAACTTTTTCTGTAAAGGGCCAGGTAGTAAATATTTTAAGCTTTGTGGGCCGCAGTCTGTGTTGGAATTACTCAGCTCTACTGTTGTAGTATAAAAGCAGCTATAGATAATACTTAAATACCTATAGGAAGCTGAAATGTGGTATATGTGTGGTATATGTCTATATGTGGTAAAATGTGACTACATTAGTTCCAATAAAACTTTATTAAAGGATGTTAACATTTGAGTTCATAATATTTTTATGTGTTAAAAAATATTCTGTTTTTAAAAAAGCCATTGACACATGTAAAAACCTTCTTAACTTGTGGGCTGTATACTATCAGGTGCCAGAAGTATATATGGCCCATGGATTTGTCTTGTGGGCTGTAGTTTTTTGATCCCTATCCTAGGTGATGGAAAGCGGTTTGCAAAGTACTACAAAGTTAAGGTGCTGTGAAATGCAATCAGCGTTTAGGGGACCAAAAATAGCTAGATTTCAATCCATTTAAAACCCTCATCTTTGTAGAACATTTTATTTTTAGCTTGGTTTGCGTCTTTGCTTCCATTTTAATGTGAACTAAATATAGACTGGAAACTCTGAGTCTTGGTACACTAATATATGGTATAACAGCTTTCTTTCCATTTTGATTACAAGTTAAACATGATATCCCATTATTAAAGATAAGAGAAGTAATAACTAATTTACTAAACCTTTACATATAACTTAAGATGCATTATTTGAAGGTATCTAAATTTAGAAAGCTTTCAGTTAGTTTAAGGTTGCATGTTTGCTATTGTGGTGAGAGTGATGGAAGGTTATATGAAACTACTGTTGTAAATGACTCGGGGCTCCTTACTGTTTCCAGGGTACAGTGTTTCACTCATATTGGATTTGTTAGGTTTTACTTGCTCAGGAAATGCGTATATAGCAAAGGTTTTAATTAAAGAGAGTTTGTCTCATGTCTAAAAATAGACCTTTGAAAAAGACCATAACATGTTCATTATATGTCCATGCCCATTACATTTTCCCTTGGCAAATTAGTTTGATTTTGTTGGGTATGGAGTATTTTTTTCTGTGAATATTTAATTATTTGAAACACATTTGTATTTTTGATTTGGTTAAGTGGCTTAAGATGGTCAATAGCCATTGTTGATAATGGCCTTAATTTAAGATTCAGTGTACATTGTTTCTACTTTAGATTGTCACTTATTTTTTTCAAATGAATATATATGGCAATAATTCCCCTCCCTGCCTCCCCCTCTCCCCCCACTTTTTGTTAGAAGGATATTGGGAAGACTTGTTAGCCTCTTGTTTTCGTTTTTAATTTTTATTGGAGTACAGTTGATTTACAGTGTTGTGTTAGTTTCTGCTGTACGGCAAAGTGAATCAGTTCTACGTTCACATACATCCACTCTTTTTTAGATTCTTCTCCCATATAGGTCATTACAGAGTACTGAGTACAGCTCCCTGTGCCATACAGTAGGTCCTTATTAGTTATCTAAGCCTTTTGTTTTACACCAAGGAAATGTGATTAACTTTATCATGTGTGGAGCTGGAATCTCTAACCTTCTCACTGTGCGGTTTGAATACCAGGACTTTCTCAAACCACCAGATTATAATTTAGTATAATAAAGCTTTTTTTAATAAAGCTTGGGGCATTTATGTCAGAAATTTGAAGATACCTTTCTCCGTAGCATTTTATTGTTTACAGAGCAGTTTTATGTACATGATCTCATTGAACAGTTGCTTAAAACCGTATGAATTTTACAACTGATAAAACTGAGACCAAGTTTGAACATCTGCCGAGTAAATGGCAGGGTTGGAACTCAAAAGCAGGACTTCGAAACAGTGGATGGCTTCCAAACGTCTTCTTTTAAGTCCCGTAAGCTTCTTGGGTTTTGAAACTTGACATCTACAGTGTACAAGTATGGATGTATGTGGGTGTCTCCTTACCTCTCCTGCCTCTTCTCCTCTCCCCTAAATTCCCCTCTCCTCCCCCTTCCCTTCCCTCCTCCTTCCTGCGCAGCCCTTTATTCGTTTGTTTAATCTGTGAACGTATCTGTGACCAATGTTTTAGGTATCCTAATGCCTTTTTGCAATCGAAACCTCTGTTTTTAGTGAGACATTAAAGAGGGTATGTTTGAAAAGTGAATTGTGGAATAAAAAATT